TAAATTAACAATGAAGAATTTTAGCCAAATCTAAGAAACTGTTCTTGGCAGGTTCTGTGGAGCCCCGGAAAGCAGGCAGATGTGGAGGGGGTTCCACTTGAGAGCGAAGGCCCCCGTCCCTGGAGCATGTCTACACAGCGCTCCTCGAAGAGCATAAACAGAGTCAAGGTCCCAGTGCACAGAGGTGAGGGCTGCTTCCCAGTCGCATGCGGGCTTGGACGAGGGAAATCTTCCGGAAGGAAACCACAAAGGTGGGAGTCCCCAAATCTGAATTTGTACAGGGGACTTGAAAAAGTTTATGAAGAAACGAATAGAGCACAAGTTCATTTTGAGGCCAACTCCATGCACACTTTTTTTTCATAACGTACAATTTTCATGAACTTTTGGAAGGCCCTGTATATAAAAATCACTGGATAAAATTAACAACGAATTAGAACACTAGAGAGCACCTGGCAGCTTGCTTTCGCGCTTTCCCTTTCTCTCTCTCTGGTCAAATGAAAAAATAATAACAACAATACCAAATGAAATTAAGTAAATAATTCGTTAAAAAAAGAAAAAAGAAATAAAAGATCAGTGAAATTAGACAGATCACAACACATTACTCAAACAGACACAGGGAGACAAAGGACAGAAAAAACTCTACAGAGTCCTCACACCTGTAACAAGGGTCTAAAACGTGTTAGAGTCTCAGGAGGAAAGAGACATTGGGGGCAGGAAAGAGGATTTGAAGTAAAATAAGTGTTAAAATTTTTCAAATTTCATTAAAGCTAGTAGCCCAAGAACTCAGAAAATTTAGAGGACCCCAGTAAGAAAAAGCACCAAAAAGCAGCCACAGTTCAGTGACACGCGCTCGGACGGGGGCAGTAGTTGAGAATGGCTGCTGGGTCTCACCCTGACAGAGTGGGAGAAAGATGGGGCCAGAAGACAATGAAAACTTATTTTGAAATGCTCAAAGAAAATCTTTCAACTTAGGATTCTAAATCCAGTGAAAATATCTTTTTAAAAAAAAGTAAAGCCAAAATAAGTGCATTTTCAGATTTAGAAAAGAAAGAAGAAAGAAGCTGCTGTTAACACACATGCTGACATGTTAAAGGAAATTCTTTGGGCTGAAGTGAAATAACGTGAAAATTTACAGCTACATGAATAAATGATAGTTAACTAGAAATGGCATATATGTGGAACCAGTTAACTGCTTTATTCTCTTAAATTGTTCAATAATTAACTGATTCAAAATATTAGCAACCTATATGGAAAGTATAACAAATGTAACGGCTTATTGTACAGCAATAGCAGAAAGGCAAAAATAGATGCAAGAAAATGTGGTAAAATGTTAACAACCCTTGAATCTAGGTAGTGGGTGCGAGTATCTATTTGAACACTTTTACTTTTCTGGAAGTCTGACCGTTTTCTTACAAATAGTATTTTTAGAAGATTTATTAAGTGATAATTTCCATAAAATGCTGAAAAGTAAACGGAAGGTAAGGGTCATTTTATCAGGTCCACACGGTGCACCTGAGCAGTTACAGTAATGAAAGCAGTATGATCCTACAGCTGTGGGTTAGATAGGTGCAATGAATGTCCAACGGGGTCCAAAATTACCCAAGTTCATATGAAAACTTAAAAAGTTAATCCAGTGGGAAAAATGGATTATTGTTACTGATAAATGGTATTGATTGTGACTATCTGTATTTCTTTCAAATAAAAATGCATACTTACAACCCCCAAAGCAACCATGTATTCATTTGACTTCTTCAGATAAAGAAGGTGTAATGATAAAAGCCAACAGAGGAGGTGGGACAGGACACAGGACACTGAAAGACAATTCACTTACCTCAAAAGAGAGGAAAGGAAGGGCAAAGGAGGAAGTCAAAAGAGTATTTCTTTCAAATACAAACAGTGATGTGTTCATAAAAATATGAATAGAAAAATTAAGAGCTCAATGTAAAAACAAAAACTATAAAATCACTCAAATAAATATTTAAATACTATACACAGTATTGTTAGATTTGATTAAAAAAACCCGGCAGATTTGGCCCCATTAAATGAAATTTTTTGTATTAAAAAAAAGCTGAATAAAATTTTTGAAATTCACCTAAAGAATATTTGTAATGTATGAAAGAAAATTTTAAAATCCTTAAAAATTAATAGAAACTGACTTCCAAAAAGTAACCAATTCAACAAAAATAAGCATAATTTATGGACAAATTAATATGTAGAAGTAGGAATAATTAAAAATACTAAACATGAAATGATCTTCAACACAGCAAAGACAGAGAATTACAGGTTTAATTAGAAATTGTTTTTAGCTTTATGTTAGAAGTGTAGATCTCTAGTCTTTTTGGAAAAATTTTCTAATAATAATATGCTGTATTCTTAAAGGATCAGTAGGTGTGACTATGTAAGCAAGAGCTTATTGCAGCTTTACACATAATGCAGTATCCTAGAAACACTGACCATGATACAAGAAAGGATTAATAAGCCTTTATGTAGTACTCCATACCACATAATATCACATGGCTCTCGAAAAGAACATATGCAGTGTGGTCACATTTTGTTGAACACTGAAAGATGGAGGAACAAATATATGTGTATATGCAGACTGTTTATGTTGTGTACAGGCACACACACGCCATGAGGAAAAAGAAAAATGCATGGGAGGGTGCTGCACCAAATGCCAACAGGTAGTGGGTACTGGAGTGCAGAAAACAGAGCAGTATTCTTTTTCTTATCTACATCTTTGTACTTTTTGAATTATTAACAAAAATATAATACCTTTAAATTGGTTACTATCAAAATTATTTAATCACACATAACGATATAGTATATACCCCCACACACACACACACGTTAAGCACCCAAAATAATATTATTTGAAACTAGATGTTTAAGCTTTCTATTTTATAACAGTAATTATTATTGTAATCATTTTGCTGAAAGTAACATATTCAAGAAACTGGATATTACTGTGTCATTGGAAAAATAATGCGGCGTTTTGCATAGAAAAATAGAAAAATACGTTGACCTTTCCAACCACCCCACAGTGATGTGATTCCTAGTTAGAACTTTAAAACGCAAAACGGAGGAAACGTGGGCACAGGGCGCCAGATGATGTGACAGGAAGCCCACATTTTCTTGATCTTACAGTTGCCCCAGGAAGAGCGCTGTGAGCACACCCTGCTTCTGCACAGACACGGCGCGCGGGGCCAGGAAGACGGCGGGCCCGACCCTTCGTGTGGTCCCGGGAGAACCCTAGTAGTATGTTCACACTACCGTAGGTGAAAATAAGTATCTTCGTGTTGTTTCTCTTAGATAAATTTCTCCAAATTGTGTCAGTTTCAAGCTTCACAAAATGCACCTGCTCCCATGGGAAGGCAAGTTGAACCACGACAATTGCTGGTTAATCAAAGGCACTGGTTATCACCTCACCGACGACCTTTACTCTGGAAGAGGTGAACTGTGAGAGACAGCTATCTCCACTCGGGTCTGGGGTCCCGAGTGAACTGTTCCTAAGGACTGGAAAGCACAGGCTGCCCCTGCAAAGTGTGTCATGGTCACAGAAGCGCACGAAGCACTGTGCACCAGGAACAGCTCTGAGCTCAGCAAGACCGACCAGAACCAGGAAATGAATGCCGACACACCTCAGGTTAAAGATGGCACCACGCAGGGTGGAGTGGGTTAGAACCAGCGGCAGGAACGGGAAGGCATGGCAAGAGAGGAAGGGAAGTGCGGGCCAGCCAGCCCTGCCGTTAACCTCCCACACTGTCCAGGGCTGGCCTGTGGCTCGCCTCCAGTGGACAGAGGCCGGACAGTCACCATGCACAACTGATCTCTTTCTGCAGCCGCTGGGTCAGACCCCTCATCAGGAGGAGGGCATTGGAAAGTGAGTCAACTAGAACACTGGGTTCATTTAATCCTTGCTGTTCTGTCCCCATGTTAACGAAGCAAACGTGTGAACACTACTCGGTTTACTAAATGATTCTGGTCACAAGCATGCAGTACACCAACCCTCTTGACTACAATACAATCAGTAGATGAATAAAATGGAAGCCCAGTTTTGTACATCAACCACATCGGCTTAGTTAATAGTATATGGATTCTGAAAAATAAATCTACTTTCAATCGCTAAACACCAGACCACAACAAATGCAAGGGGGGCCTCCTGGGCAAACCACTGGCCGGCTTCCTCTTTGCAAGTGCTTCCCGAGTGGCAGGTTAAAACGCAGTTTGCAGCTGGACTACCTTCACAATACATTGCCAGCAATTCTTTTTTTTTTTTTTTTTTTGAGAGGCTTTTGCTATAGGGTGCGTGCGCTCGCCAGACAGACAGAGAGAGACAGAGAGATAGAAAGCGAGAAATCACCCCCCGGGGGGATGGCCACGCCGCAATCCCTTCTCCTCCAATCTCCTCTCGGGATCTTAGGCACGCATGCACACGCGCCCGGTGTGAGCTTAAGCCACCAGGTCCGGGACTCGAACCACGGTTGACTACATGGGAGTCCAACGACATAACCATTACACTAACTGCTGGGCCCATTGCCAGCAATTCTATCAATGAAATGTCCAAAGTAAACATAAACAAAATGCACATAAAACAAAACAAAAAATTCATTTTTTAACATGTCTTCTTTCAAATATAACATAAGTCAAATTACATTTCTTTTTTTTTTTTTTTTTGGAGAGGTTTTCACTATAGGGCGCGTGCGCTCGCCAGACAGAGAGAGACATAGAGACAGAAAGCGAGAAATCACCCCCCGGGGGGATGGTCACGCCGCAATCCCTTCTCCTCCGTTCTCCTCTCGGGATCTTGGGCACGCACGCACACGCGCCCGGCGTGAGATTTAAGCCACCGGGTCCAAGACGCGAACCGCGGTCGACTACGTGGGAGTCCAGCGACATAGCCATTACACTAACTGCTGGTTCCCAAATTACATTTCTTTTTAAAAATATCAATTTATTTAAGTAACACTTCCTGGGCTTCTAAACTTAAAAAATTATTTTACCTATGTGATTGGTTGTTCAGGTTCAGGGATCCGGCCTGGTACATCTCCTCCAACTGCTTCCTGTTCCCGAAGTACAAAGCGAGGTCCGTAGCGATGATGGCTTTGCGGATGATCTCAAGCACCTGCTCGTACTCACTGGAGCTCAGGGCGGAGAAGATATTGTGCCCTTCCAGCTACAGGAAAGAGTACAAACAATCGCTAGAAACAAGCACAAGCTCTGACCTTAGGACATTTTCATTTATTTGAAACAATATATGTCGTCAGTTCATGCCATGGACACACCAATGGTGGGCTTTCGGGAAACTAAGGAGTAGTCTGAGATGACTATAAGAAAACGGCCAAGCTAAACAATGAAGTGCCACTTGAATGAACTCTAACGGCAGTAACAATATTTCTACTGCGAAATGCCCACGAAAGAATGTACCTCACTTTTGGAGATTTGTAGTTAAAAAACTGTAAAATGTTTTCATAAAAGACTTCCTAACTAACATTGGAGTAATTTTTATAAAACACTGGAACTTCGTGGGCTTAAAAGTGCATCTATGAGTACACCCTTGTCTACTTCGGGTTGTATCCTATCAAAGCAAGACTATCGAACAAAAATCATCTGTCTGCATGCTATATGTAAATGTCCATACCACAAAAAAGTGTTTATTCAAACATACTGACACTCTCTCTACGGGTAAGAACACATTCACGTACAATACACATCTTCGGCAGTGTAACAGCCCTGAGGTTGTCTCTGCGGTCTTCACGGGAGATGAGAAATGGCAGATCACCACCCTACACGAGCACAAAACACTGCTAATTTAGAGTTTACCGTCTCAGAATTGTTCTGCTGAATATGATTCCTTAAAGAACTTCTTAAAGTAATTTTCCCTCTGAAAATGTTAAACTCTTAATTGTAAATGAAATAAAAAGCTCAAGCTAAAAAGGCTGAGATAGTAAAGATGTATTCAATTATGGGTTCATCATTTCTTTTTGATTATTGTTAATACACTCCTGGTATAAATCAATTTTAATTGATTTTACTGTTCTTAATCTATGCTTACTGATAGGAAATACATTAAGAACATAAAATGAGTGAAACACATTTCTTTATAAACCCAGACATCCCTCTGAGATAGTACCTGCTTCGTGTTCTGGAATAAAGCAGTGTGCACCATTCGTTTTCGATCATCAGAATCTTTCTATATTACTCACTTTTAACTGATAACAAGGATGTAAGGCCTTACATTTACAGAACGTTCTGCAGCTTATGAAGCACTTTCGGACAGATGATTTCACTTTCAAATGGAAGATTTATATAAGCCTTTGATGTCTATCTGAAACAAAGTATTTCCTAAAACATTAGCAAGATTTCTTTTTTTTCCTTTTTTTTTTTTGGAGAGGTTTTTTGCTATAGGGCACGTGCGCTTGCCAGACAGACAGAGAGAAACAGAGAGACAGAAAGCAAGAAATCACCCCCCACGGGGGATGGCCACGCCGTAATCCCTTCTCCTCCATTCTCCTCTCGGGATCTTGGGCACGCACGCACACGCGCCCAGTGTGAGTTTTAAGCCACTGGGTCCGGGACGCGAACCACGGTCGACTACGTGGGAGTCCAGCGACATAGCCATTACGCTAACTGCTGGTCTCCACAAGATTTCTTTTTGAGAGAAATTGTAGTGCTTATATAAACTGGGTATTTTTTTCTTTCAATTTTTAGTAATAAAATCTCATTTGAGACCTCTTTCATGAACACAGCGGGGTCAAAGAGGTGGATGTGATGAGGACTGACTTCGGCTCAATCAGAGCTGCTGTGTGGAGTGGGCCTGAGATGCTGTGGGCTGAAGCATTAAAGCACAGGTTGGTTAGCGACTGATGGAGACAAAGGGAGAGTTCAGCCTGGGCAGAGGACTCAACCCGGTTATCTTTCAGGACCCTGCCCACCTCAGCTTTCTACACTTCTGCTATAGAAGGCTCAAAGAGGTGGCCGTGAGGAGGCTCGAGCAGCTCAGCACAAGGAAGCACCAGCGGAGTGTTCAGGGTTCCTGCGTGAAACTGAAAACTTCTCTCTAAAACTGGAACCACTCGGCCCGCACCTGCAGGGACCACAGTCACGAGTCCACTGCGATTTTACACGATACTGAGTGTGACCCCACCAGCTCATGTTTTCACAGATTCTCAGAAAGTGCCTGTGAGCCAAGATAAAACAAGAGCCCTTTAAAGGGCCTGTATATCCTGGTGGCTGCCCTAAGCTGCTGTTTCCTTTGCAGTGACACAATGGTGAGGAACAGTAGGCCTAGAAAGCGCAGCAGAGGACTTTATAAGGAAAACCTGTAATGAGGACCCTTCAACTGCCCTCTTCAGTATCTCTCAAGAGTAAAAGGAATGAATGAAGAAAGAAACAAAAATAAGGTACACCTTCTCTTTGGGGGGTATCTAGTGTTTTGCTCCCACCAAAATGAGAGAAAATAGTGGACATGCAAGCAACCAAACACACAAGACACAGCCTACAGCCTTTGGAAGACTCCGGTCTCATGCAACACATGGCAGACCTCGGAAAGTGATGCCATACTTTTATTCTTCAATTGGCAGGTTTATTCTAGTTCATGTCCTAGGCTGGAAGTCTACGTTAGTTCAAGCTGGTTAATCTCATTTTGCATAAACCAAGCATGAAGCAGCATATTTTTATACCTAGGGATGTTTTTCAGTCCTAAAATGGGTGAGTGCGTGTAACTCTTATGTCTTTAAGAGTGAGCTCTGTATGTAAATGCTCTAAGTAGCTGAGACCTCGAGATGTCAGAGCATGTGGACAGCTGTGTTGCTGGAAGATGAGCAGGGACTACCCGGGGAAAACGGTCTTTAAGGCCTTCCACCCTCCAGCCCTCTGGCGCAAGGACTCTGAGGGCCCGAGGCCCCTCCCCACCAGTACACTTGAGCAGCACCTGGTTCCTGCCACCATGGTGTCCCCACCAGAGATGATGCTTGTCTCCGTGTGTGAGCCCATATTTGGGGTCACGCTCTGCTCTGCTCAAGGACGTCAGCTGGTGCTCACCCACTGCTACTATCAGCTTAGCCCCACCACAGAGGACCTACAGGGTGAAAGCTCTTTTTTTGAAACGTTTTTGCCAGAGGGTGTGTGCATTCGTCAGTCAGTGAGAGACAGTGAGAGGAAAAGTGAGAAATCACCCCCCCCCTCCGGGGGGTGGCCACACCACAATCCCTTCTCCTGTATTCTCCTGGGATTTGGGGCAAGTATTCACATGCACCTGGCCTGATCTTCAAGTTACCATGTCCAGGACTTGAACCGTGGTCAGCCATATGTGGGAGTCCAGCACGTTAACTACCACACCACCTGCTGGCTCCCTATGAATTCATTTTTTGAGGAATTCAAGTTCACAGTTTAGTGAAGGAGCTAAGCAAGGGGCAGACTGGGCAGAGTGGGCTGGCCTTGCTGACAGGACTAAGGGCAATCGGGATGCTCTCCAGGGTGCGGACATGCGCTCTGAAGGACGAGCAGAAGGACCAGGAGCATGTGACAGGGGCAGTTGAGACCACAGGATCAGGAGGTTTGGTGGGGGCTACAGAAATGCCCTGTGATAGAGGCAAACCGAATACGGTGGAATGAAAGCCTGAGAGTTAGGAAAGGAGGCTCAGTACGGAACAGAAATGCTACCCTGACTGCAATAAGGAGCCCCTGGTCCCACGATGTTAGGTGGAGTGGGGACAAGGTCTATGTTTTAGGACGATCGCTCTGCAACACTGCGGCCTGCAGCAGGTCAGAACCACAGCAGGAGGACAAGACTGATCAATCTCGCCTCAGGAAGTTTACAAATATTATTAACCATACATAATTCCCCCAAGCCCTTATGCTGCTTAGCCCTATAGGGAAATTCTATGGGACGGCCTTGACGCTCAGACTGGCCTACGTGCCAGCCAATTTAGGACTCGAGGTCCAGCAATCCCACGAAAACTGGGCCGTCAGTCACTACCAGTGGAAGCCATAGATATGGCTGAGCCGTTCAGGTGCTCTGAGCATAAAGTCAAGGACACAACTGACTGCACAAGCCCTCACAACAGCAATGCCCTACAAGACCAGCACACTCACCAACAGTACCTGCTGCACCTGCACCGAGCCACCCTGGGACGGCTACGGCATCGGAACCCACGGCGCAGCTCTGGGGTCAAACAGTTACACCTTTCACCCAGCTCTGCTTCCTACTAGCTGCGTGATAAAAGGACTCATTACTGGTCCTCCTTGATGTAATTACTCTCGCTTATAAAATTAAAATAAGTAATACCTACTTCATAAACTATAAAAAAATCAAATATATTAATATACACAAAATACTTAACTTTCTGGTTCACGAATGATGAAACCTACCAGTGTAACTTCTGTAGTCAGAGTGAAAAGAGAAGCAAAAACAAATACAACGAGGAGGCAGGCACAGAAGCGAATTCGATGACCAAAGGCCACTTCCACTCGGAATCCATCTGCAGACAGAGTTAAGCTAACCTCGTGTTGCAACTTTTAGATGATTAAAAAGGCCGTGGCGAATATAAATTCAGCAATTATGCTAAAGTTGCAGTACATAAAATAAAACCCAGTCCAGGGCAAGCACCCTGGAGCTCTGTAGCGGAGTCACCGAGACATCACGGCTGTAAACATAATGAAAAGTCACGGAGTGCCCAAGTGTTGGGTTTCAGGATAATGCTCTGAAATCTCTTATTTTAAAAACATTAGTTAATTGATATTAATGAAATATTAAGAAAATGTTTTTTAATAATGAGAATAATCATTCCTGATAGGTCTGTTTTCTAAAATTTCAACTTTTGAGTAGGATATTACCTACTTATTCAACAGAAGGTAAAAGGTACAAAGAGCTTTACTACTTAAATAACTATGAACCTCTCATTAGGACAACGAGCTGGTTTACCACCCTGTGGTTCTAGAAAGGTTACTAGACGTGTGTAGGTAGGTGTAAGTGGGAAAACGAAGCCTCACCTACACTGGTGAGTGTCAGTGTCCACACAAGATAACCACCTGCCTTCCACTCAGCCACCCCTGCCCCTCGTCCCAAGGTGTCATATCAATTCACTTTCCCTGGAATGAAGGTGCAGTTTCGGGGCAGGGCTGTGCCCAGCTGTGTGGGAATGCCACGAAGCAGCCATGCTGCAGGAGGCAGCGCCTGGGTCGGTCCATGGCACCACCTCACTATGGCTAAGCAGGACAAGCCGTGACCAAATACTCTCTTCCTGCCTGCCTGTGGCATGAGTGGGGTGGTGTGCGTGTGTACGTGCATGTGTGAGCTGGACAGACTTAAGGTTATCTTTTACAATAGCTTAATACTCCCTCTGTGGGCCACCGTGGCCCACACTGAAAGATGGTGTCTGAGTTTACAAACACGCATGGCCACACGTGTGCACAGCTGTGCAGGCCTAGAGTGTTTCCAATCACCACATGCTGAACTGTGACCTCTAACCTGGCTGTGCTGCAAGAGGGTGGGGAGTTCCAGGAGAACTAACAAATCCTCCGAGTGGCAATGGAGACACAGAACACCGACAGAGATCAAGAAAACAGTCGGAAAAGCCTTCTGTGGAGAGACAGGTATCAGAGGCACTCAGACACCATGACCAGATATGGCATCTCGTTTTAGGCACTGAAGTTGGAACCTTTGCTGCTACAAGGATAGTGCTTGAGTTGGTCAAGTTTAGAGCTATCTTTTGGCAAAACATAAAGCCGAAAGGACTTGTGACTGCACTAGAGGAGTTTAGGCTAAAAAGTAACAGGGAAATTATAACCAAGCCACACGCTTAGGTGGACAGGGTTGCCAACATAGGAAATACAGAATAGAAAAGCTATCTAGGGAAAAATAAGAAAAGCGATATTGG